AGGACGCTCACCACACTGGCCTTTAGCTCAGCACACAAGCTTTCATACATGGATACAACAGTCCACATCTCTTCTCATAGCATCATTTTACTGTTCAGGACTGTAGTGCCTTTTAAATACTGTTTGCTAATTATATGAAATACATGGCTCCTGAAGAGGTGAGTAGGGCACGGAAGAAAAAAGACTCAAGTCTTTTGCAGTCCTAATAAGATGTGAAGCCAAACAGATCTTTGGTGGCCAGTGGACAAATGCTATCTAGTGTCCAAAAGGAATTTCAGCTTGTAACTGATTTATAGCCAGGTCCAATTGTTTTAACACTTTTATTTATTTGTAATGCTAAATACAGGAGGGGTTTTCTTGTTTCCTCAGAGTGGTCAGTGGTTCTCGAGATGCTACGCTAAGAGTTTGGGACATAGAGACGGGCCAGTGTTTACATGTTCTGATGGGCCACGTAGCTGCAGTTCGCTGTGTTCAGTATGATGGCAGAAGGGTTGTAAGTGGTGCATACGATTTTATGGTCAAAGTGTGGGATCCAGAGACAGAGACCTGTCTGCACACGCTGCAAGGGCATACTAACAGAGTCTACTCTTTACAGGTATGTGATTTTCATCTGTTGCTATAGTTTCCTGAAGTAGCATTTAAAGTCAGTTTATTTCACCTTGTTTATGAAATTGTGGGTACCTACTTCAGTATCACACAATCCACAAGAATATAGGGATATCTGTATTATTCCCCTCTTCCATTTTGTTATATTAGTTTTATGTTGTTGTCCTCATTTAGAGAGTTTTTAGAGACGCATCTTTTAAAGCACACAGTACAATAAGGCCCAGATCTCTGTCCCCACAAGTTACACAGGTTTGTGGGTTGTTTTGTTTTTGAAATCTTGCATATATTTTGCAATGGAGCTATGTTTTTGGTTCCCCCAAGGAAATTCTAGTGATTATTTTTTAAATAAATTAGATGATATAGTAATTTAAAACACGCCAAAAATAAAGAAAAATTGGTTGGATTAATGTTCTGAATTATCCACATCTGTTTATACTTATTTTGTAGTCACATCTAGTTCCAAACTGTAATTCACAGTAAAGCTGAAACAAAAATTTTAATGCCCTGACAGGACATAAATCTCCAGCCTTCTACTTCCTCTTCTTTGAGTAGAGGCCAGATCTACAATTGTGAGGCTGTGTCAACAGTGACATGTTATTGTAGATGTAGGTTATTACTGGTATTACTTTGTGGCTTGGCTCTATTGCCTCAAGTCACCACGCGGTCGGTTAAAACTATTCTGGCAAAAATACACATAGACCTAATGGAGATTCTCCTTACCTTTACTAACCCAAAAGATTGTCTTATTCATCAACAGAGTGAAAGTGTCACTCCCAGGCACTGCGAGGACAAAGAAATTGATTTCATGCTTTTGTGCCTGTTCTCATCACAGTCTGGCAGGACTAAAAAAGTTAACGAAATTTAAAATTGTGTAATTGTATTCTGCACATGTTCTAATCTGGTTTACAGTACAGAAAGTAAAGCTCAGTGCTAGAGCTAGAGAAACATTTTCATAAATGGTTTCATCAAAAGGTATTTCTCACCTTAGATTAAATATGAACAAAATACCGATTTGATTTTCTTTCTAAAAAATAAGCAGGAAAATCTCTAGTCCTCCTCTTAACATTCATATGCTGAGGAGTATTCTTTCAACAAGCGGCAAACAGGTTAAAAATGCTGTAATACAGATCTCTTGAAATATTTAGGAAGCTTTTAGTTCTTTTCTCTTCATCTACTGCAGTTTGGGAAGTGTATGTTATTTTGCCTTATCCTCACTGGTTGCTCTTGTTTTGGCTGATGGATATTAATGTCTTGTTCTGATATGGAGTAATACGGACCACATAATTGGGTAACACTGATACTGTTGCCTCTGCAAATGCAGCATAGGGTTCTAAAACAAGAGTCTAGGGGGGCAGGAGGCTATCGGTGTTTACAGTTTTAGGACAGAAACATTCTTTGAATTGTATGGTGGGTTCCTACCCTTTGGCCTGAAATAGCCTGAAACAGCAGAACTCTCAGAATCAGACTGAAGGAAACATGTGACCCAGTCTGTCCTCCCCATCCCCACTTCAAGCAGATTCAATTATATCTCAACATTTGCCCAACTGCAGACTCCCCCAGCATTTTCCAGAGATCCTTATGCAACAGTTTAAGACTACTGACCATGTTCGGTTTCTTAGTCACCCTCTTAGGTACCTTTGTAGTAATCCATGCACTCTCTGGGGTACGTGGATAACGGCTCACAACCACTGATCCAAACTGTTGTTTACTTAATTGTAGCAATACAAGGATAAAGTTTTTCTTGATGCCAAGCCTTAAAAAATTCTTTCTGCATAGCTGGCGTATTTGGATTGCAGTTAATTTGCTGGGGGAAAAAAAAGAATTCAGAAGCTGTTGAATCAATCTTTTTTAGTTTAGGAAAGAAAAACATTCCATGGTCTTTCCACCCAACAGATCTGTTTGTTAGCCTACTTATCATTCCTGTTGCTTTTATCTGAACTCAGATTAGTTCACATCCTTTTTTTGAAAGCAAGGTGCCCAAAACAGGATACAAAATTCCAGTCAAAGTCTTATTGGTGCTTACTAGAATTGAAAGGTTATTTTATATGCCTTATATAGCATATCCCTATTTCAGATCTATATATAGGTTTTTTTTTCCCCCACAGGAAGTACAAGGTATGCAGATAAGCAGTTTTAGGGAGGGACTGGCACGTCCCTCTCTCAAAATCTTTTGACCCCAAGTGTTGTGCACAACCATGTTTGCAGATAGAGATCGAAGACGTTAATTTTCTACAAGTTTTATTAAAATAAGCAGTGAGATAACTGCTTATTGGGTTCTCGCTTCTCTGTTATTAGATACCAGTCAGTCCACGTGGACAATGTTAGATTGCCCTCATGGTAACAGAGATTCCTGCCTTGTCGTTCTCCCAGGCTGCAGTCATGCCTTCATTCATTTCTACCCAAGCTCAGATCTTTGCAGTGGTCACTTGACTTTCATACTCTTTGCTTTGGGGCAGCTCTTTAAATACCATCCAAATCCTAATGAAAATGCTGAAGGGCCAGACACCTCTGGAAGTCTCTCATATCTCTGACTACGCTGTGAGCAAAGTTTTGAACTGGATAGTATCCCTACATCAAATGTCTCCTTCTTTATGAAACTATAATGGAGACAGCTGCTGTTTCACATGACTTTTTACCCTGTCACAAAAATATCAGATTGGTTAAATTGGTTCCGCTGCAAATCTATGTATGTTTACTGCTACTTCTTGCATTGCTAAGGGTTTAAAACCGGACTGATTATTTGATAGTTCCTTCTGGAAATTGAAGTTAGGCTGAAGGATCCATAATGCCCCATCTCCCATCAGCATCTCCTTTAATAATGAAAGGAATTGTGTTTGCCATCTGAACCTCCTGTCTTCCATGAAATCTCAAAGATAGCAGCAGATGTCTCTGAGATTGCCTTAAAACCACTCGCCTTACGTGGTTCTTCCCCATTCTTGCTGAAGTTCGTACTCAGTTGTTACTGGTGTTAGCACTGTTAGCCTACACTCACATGGCTGAGGACTGAGGCAAAAAAAGTTAAATAGTGGCCACATTTGGTGTTTCCTTCCCTCTGAGCATAAATGAACTTTTCTTGGCCTTCCTCTTGTTTTTTACAGAGTAGTGTTTTGTCATCCTTAATGGCTCTTGCTAGTTTCATCTTGTTTTGTGCCCTGCCTTTCTGATTTTGTCCCAGTGTGCCAGTGTGCTCTTTCATTCACATCTCTTGATCTAGTTTCTACTTTTTGTACAATTCCTTGTGCTGTAGCCAAGTGAGTCGTGGTAATTTACTACACTTCCTATCTTTCCTTCACATAAGGATAGTTTGTGTCTTTAAGAAAGTGCCAACTCCCCTGAACTCTTCTTCCCCTCAGAGACTAGATACATAAAAACCTCATGGGAAGGAAGTCTCAATTTATTGAAGTATTCCTCCTTGAAGCTCACTGTTTTTATTCTACTGTGCTTTTTCCTTCCCTTTTTAAGAATTCTGGGCTCTTATGTCATTGTCACTATCACTCAAGTTACTTTTCACCTTTATATTCTCTACATGTTCATTCCTCTTGGTCAGAATTGTCTCATCTCTTACTTGATTTCTCTACGTATTCATGTTCTACATATTTCTGGTTCATATATAAATGAACCAGCATGCGTATGCGCGTGTGTACACACACACACACACACACACCCCACCCATACAGAAAATCCAAGAATGCATACATCTGTGTTAGCATGTATTGCTTTTGCAACATACATCTAGAAAGTTTAAGTTCCTTACTGCACACAATCATGATTTGGATATAGTGTGCGGGGGAGGGGGGATAAAATGGCTTAATAGCACCATTTTTGCTTTCCTTCATGTTCCTGTTTTGGCTTTTGCACAGAGGATCCTGGATTAACGTTGTTGCCCTTGTCCAGCTTGAAGTCCCTTACACTTGTGAAAAGCAAGTTTGACTACTTAATTTCATTAGGAGAACAAAATTCTTTTACTGTTTCTTTGTTGTACATTGTAGTATAGTCAGGATATTACTATGTTTAAAAGCATTGTACTGTATTCAGAAATACATAGTACAAAGTCTCTTTTTCTCCTTGAACTGAGTACCTCATAGACCATGTCTATAACAGGAAATTCCACTGACCATAAATCACTTGCTCTGATATCAAGCATGGTCATTCAGTGCTTACACTGAATTTTTATTTTGTAATGCCATTTCCAAATATATACAGCAGCTAATGATTCATTTAGTGAATTAAGTGCTCAGTAATCTACTTCATATACAGCACATCATAAGACCCTAATATAATTGCTTGTAATAGATTTACCTTTCTTGTAGTTTGATGGAATCCATGTGGTGAGTGGATCTCTTGACACTTCCATCCGAGTTTGGGATGTGGAGACAGGAAACTGCATTCACACGCTAACAGGCCACCAGTCTTTAACAAGTGGAATGGAACTCAAGGACAATATACTGGTGTCTGGGAATGCGGATTCTACAGTCAAAATCTGGGACATTAAAACAGGACAATGTTTACAGACATTGCAAGGTGAGTTTAAACTTCTCCGATGTAGATCAAACTACCTGCTGTTATCTATGCTCCATATTCTATTAAAAAAAAAAACTTTAAAAAATTATATACAAAGTAACAACCACAGACCATTTACAACTTAGAAATCATTTTTCTGATGACAGCTGTATGATCCTTCCCCGAGTTAGAAGAACAAAATGTATTTAATCTAATCTATTCAAATCACTTGCCTATTATGAAAGGCAGATGGTCTGGGTTGACAGAAATTTGCTACGGGTATATTAGCCTACTAAACCACAGAAATATCTAGGAAATGGCATCTCAAAACAGTCAGTCAACTTATTTAGGGGTCACTTGGATGTTTCAAAGCCTACTGATTAATTGGATTGGGAGGCAAAGTACACTGTCTGTTACAATAAATCAAAAGAAATGAGTGGAAGATGTTTCCTTTATTTTATAAAGAAGAAAGATTTCAGTTTCCATTTTGACAGTTGCCACTCAGGCGTGCACACATGAACACAGTTTTCTTTCCCTAAACAATGTCTTACATCATTCCCTTATATCATAACAAATATCCTTGAAATTAATTTCACCATAAAGCAGGCTCTGCTGTTTTAACTCCTATTTACAGCTACTAACTGGAATTTATAACAGCACCACCGTTTTCTATAATCAAGAATTAGGAGTGCCCTCATAATAAGCTCTTCAAAGGGGTTTGGAGACAGACACCTACAGGTTCTGTAGTCACCTCACTCTGGATGGCTAAGTTCATTTGCACAGATTTCCAGGTATACACACTTGCCTTACTGTTTGTATACAACAGAACAAGATCACTGTAACAAAGAAGGAAATCCTGGGGAATTTTTCTATACCTATATTCACTCTTAGAAAATACGAGCACAAAAACTGAATTAATAATACTGCTATGAGATAGAAACACCTGTGTGCAAATATACAGGTATTTAGTTTATAGGCCCTGCTGTCTGTTGTTGCTATCTGACTACAAACAGAAATGTTTTGGTTTTACTGTTATAGGTCCCAACAAGCATCAGAGTGCTGTGACCTGTTTACAGTTCAACAAGAACTTTGTAATTACCAGCTCAGATGATGGGACTGTAAAACTCTGGGACTTGAAAACGGGTGAATTTATCCGAAATCTAGTCACATTGGAGAGTGGGGGGAGTGGAGGCGTTGTGTGGCGGATCAGAGCTTCTAATACAAAGCTAGTGTGCGCAGTTGGAAGCCGGAACGGGACTGAGGAAACAAAGCTGCTGGTGTTGGACTTTGACGTGGATATGAAGTGAAGGGCAGAAAGAATTTGTCCAAACGTGTAGACGATGTTCTCCTTTCCCTCCCCCGAAAAAAAAAAAGAAAAAAGAAAAAAAGAAAAAGGAAAAAAAAAAATCCCTTGTCCTTGGTGGTGCAGGATGTTGGCTTGGGGCAACAGATCCTAAAGACCTACAGACTACGAAGGAGAAGACAAAGATGACAAACTATAACTGACAAGAGAGGCATTTGCTGTCTCGTCACATAAAAAAGGCTACACTTTTGACCGGGGCAGCTTTGCAAAAAATACGCCTTTATAAATGAAACCAGGTGCAATTATTTCTTTACTTTTCCTCCAAGTGCTCCTTGAGCAATTTGGGGGTTAAACAAAAAAGTTACAATTCTTGTTAACAGGTTAGTTTATCACAAAGATCTTGAAAGAAGCTGCACACGCAAGGCTGCTCGTGCACCCCTAGGCCACCCTGGGCCCTGCCAGGCCTGGCAGCCCCTCTGAGCAACGTGCTCTCAGCTGGCCGCTCCGAGCGGGGGGGTTGGACAAGATGACCTCCAGAGGTCCCTTCCAACCTCTACGACTTTCAAAAACTAGAGAGCATCTGCAATGAATAAAAACAAAACAAAACAAACAAAAGTCCATTCCTGGTGTGGAAAAGCTAAAATATTACTGTGAATTGTTTTGTACAGTTTTATCAGAGCTTTTTCTTTCCTTTTTTTTTTTTTTTTTTTTTGCCAACCATTGCCAATGTCAATCACAGTATTAGCCTCTGTTTAATCTATTTACTGTTGCTTCCATCTACACTCTTCAATGCATAAGTTGCTCTGAGGTGGCAAGTTGTCCTGGGTTTTGAGAGTCCGCTGATGGATTTAATTCGCAATGCTGGTGCTAGAAGTAGGTCTTCAATTATGGGATTGTTGTCCCACCCCTGTACTGTATTCCCAGTGGCCAAACTTATTTATGCTGCTAAATGAAAGAAAGAAAAGCAAATTATTTTTTTTTATTTTTTTTCTGCTGTGACGTTTTAGTCCCAGACTGAATTCCAAATTTGCTCTAGTTTGGTTACAGAAAAAAGACTTTTTGCCACTGAAACTTGAGCCAACTGTGCCTCTAAGAGGCTGAGAGTGGAAGAGTTTCAGACAATTAAGAGTGAAGTTTGCCTGCAAATAAAGAATTGAGTGTGTGTGCAAAGCTTATTTTCTTTTTTCTGGGCAAAAATTAAAACACATTCCTTAGAACAAAGCTCTTGCAGCCTGTTCTGTGGGGAAATTTTTCTTTGTGAGGGCTGTGGTGAATGGAATGAACATACATTAAAAAAAAAAACTGTCAAAATTTTTAAAAAATATTATAAAATACAAAAATGAAAATAAAATTGCTGGTCAGTCTTAGTGTTTTACAGTATTTGAGAAAAAAAACAACTGTTACAGTTATTGCTGGGAGGAACTGACAGAGCAAAAACTTAAGTTTTTGTAAAGTTGTCATATGCAAACAAAATGAAACATGAGAGTCAAATGGTTTGCCTCATTCTCCAAGAGCCACAACTCAAGCTGAACTGTGAAAGTGGTTTAACACTGTATCCTAGGCGATCTTTTTTCCTCCTTTTTTTTTTGTTTTTGTTTTATTTATAGTCTGATTTAAAGCAATCAGATTCCAGTTGGTTAATTTTAGTTATGTAACAACCTGACATGATGGAGGAAAACAACCTTTAAAGGGATTGTGTCTATGGTTTGATTCACTTAGAAATTTTATTTTCTTATAACTTAAGTGCAATAAAATGTGTTTTTTCATGTTAGTTGGTCGTCTTTTCTTCTGTGTCTTGTTGTTAGTTTAATATTATATATCCTGTGACGTCTAAATCAGGTCAAGTTTCTCAGCTTACTGGTAGATGCAAGAAGTCCAGCAAGATATTTTGATGTGACACTTCCACAAACGCGTGCATGAGTGTCCTCTACTTCAGCGGTCGTATAGAATTTATCACATGGACTTCAGCAAACATGCAGTAAAGCCATTAACTTCCTATCACTAAAAACATACTAGGATTTGACTCTGGAGGGAGTTAGCTAGAAGAAGCTTCTGAAGTGTCTAAAAGTTCTTCCAACAGCATTTTGTTTCTGCATCTCAAAATGAAACCTGATGTTTATTATTTATTCATTTCAATCAATCGATTGCCATCTCGGAGCAGAGAATAAATCCATATGCAACTAAAATCAACGTTAGGATCTTAGGAGAGCTTGAAATAAAGCCTCTAAGAAAAAAAAATCCTACAAAAACTCCAGACTGGTCCCTAAAGCAGTTTCCTCAGTGCACTGAAACACAGGTAACTTACTTACTTACTTATCAATCATCAGCTGTCTTAGAAACCTAGTAACTGAATGTCAATTTCTCTCTTAAATTTCCTTGACCAAAATTACATTTTCTTCTGTGCATGTCTTTTCTATCAGGGTATGCAATTTACTTGTTTGTGACAGTTTTCTGTATAGAAAACTACCTGTCATTAAAAAAAAAAAAAAACCGAAGAGAAAACACATGGGTGGAAGAGAAAAATATTTATACAGTTATAGTCTATGACTATATACTATTAAAATGTAGCTCCTATCTCGTTATGCAAAGCAAATAAAAGGATTGCAGTTCCATCTGGCCTCTAGAGATAAAAAAAGCCTTACAAAATGACCAAGCATCTACAATTTGTAAAAACTCGTTCTTTGAGTTGGCGTTTAAGGGGGGGGGGGGGAAAGGAA